CTCCGGGCAGCGGTGACTCCAGCAGCGGACAGCAGGCACCGGGCGAGGGGGGGGGCAATCTAATATCGGCCGTGAAGAGGGCAACTTCACTCACATTGGAGTGAGACCGGAGGCCGAGGAGGACGAGGGTCGACTGTGCAGCTGCAGTGGCATCTGGCAAAGCGAAGGAAGCGAAGGCGAAGTGTTGGTCTGTGAGTGGGGGAGGGTGGGGTTGGGGGGGGTGGCGGCACACGTGGGGTTACTGTGGTCATCAGAGGGGCACCCTCGCCCGGCACGGTGACCACTCACTCGTCGAGGACTCGACGGCCACGTGCAGCAGCCTCCTGAGGAGGAGTCGTCACCGCCAGCCGGGCCCAGAGGGTGGCCGCGCAGAGGGGACGGATGGCGCGCAGGGAATGTGAATGAGGCGGGAGATGAAGAACAAGAGAAGGAGCAGAATAAAGGAGTAGAAGGGAGACGAGGAGGAGGAGTGTGGCGGTGAGGCTCGGGACGCGACCTCGATTGCAGCTCCCGAATCTCCACCACCGCGGAGTGCTCGGAGCGCCTCGTGCGTCGAGGTTGAACCCCGAGCGTCGCGGCTCCTGGTTGCATTAAAAGCGGAGTGCGCCGAGACACCCGAAATCCATTCCTCACCACCACCACCACCATCAAGCAGCAGCCCCGGCCGCTGCGATCGCCTCCTCCTCCTCCGCGCCGGTGGGAGCGGCGAGATGCGGAGATTAGAGGCGAGACTCGCGACTCATAAATCTCACTCAGCGGGCCGCGCCGCGCTCCTCAAGCCCCTTGGTTTTATTTTCCTGTTTCTGACAGCGCGGAGACGGCGGAGCCGGACTGCCCCCTCCTCCCCCGCTCGACCCCCGATCTCCCTCCAGCCTCCCTCTGTCTGCCGCTGCCTACCCAAGTCTCCCCCCCCCGCACTCTCCCTCCGCCTCCACCACCCACCCTCGGCTTCCATCTCCCTCCCCGTGACCGTGCCCACCCCCCAACCTCCTCCCTGCCTCAAAGCCCCCCCCCCCCCACCACCCCACTCCCTCTCCTCCCGCCCGTCTTCGCCGTGAACTCTGCTCATCTACGCTCCCATCACCTCCTGTCCCTCCAACCCCGCGGTGTGTTATTTCTCGCGGCACCCCCTGGGGGTGAGTGGTGTAGCGGCAAGGCGGGGGGGGAGTAAAGGTGGGTGGGGTGGGGGAGTCCCCGTAGAGATCAGCTGTCAGTCATCCCGTGCTGCTGCTGCTCATCGTGGTTGAGTGGGGGGGGGGGGCAGTGGACGGTGGAGCGCTCTGGGGGTAACTCGGAGATCCCTTTCGCGAGTTCACAAAAACCCCGCCTCCTGCCCCCCTCGCAGTCCTGCCCATAGACCCCCCCCCACACCCCCCACACCCCCCCCTCGTCTCCCCCCGGGCCCCACCCCCGCATTCCTGCTCGGTATCGGGTTCGCGTCTCGCCTCTCCCGGAGCCGAGCGGGTCGCGTCGTCCCCGCTCGGGTTTCGCGCCCGCCACCACGGACCCGTGACCGGGGATCAAACTCAGTCGCTCCAACAACGAGGGTGCCCGCTCGTCACGTGGTCAACGAGAGCAGTGGTGGACATTCCATGTTCCCATGTTGAGAGTTTCGTCGATAGTGGTGTTTATTTGATCGACCCCAGAGGGGGATGATGATGATGCTGAGTCGACCCCGCCCCGTCCAGGATCTGAACTCGCGACCTTCTGAGTGCTCGGCCCACCGTGCCAAGTGTCACGTGATGGTCACCGCGCGGCCCTCTTGCATCGGTCACATGCTCACGTCGCTACGGCCGCAGAAGCGTCTCCGCATTGACCTCCGTCCAGCCGTGGGTAGACCATGGTGGTGGTGACAGCGTGGAGAGACGCGTGCTCGGAATGACACCGGGAGACAGGATGACGGAGACGTGAATGGGAGGCCACGCGCAGCTTCAACTCAACCTGCTGAGCGAGCGTGAGCTGCGGCTGCGGGGCAGGGACGCGTCACGGCCCGCGGTCGAGACTAACGACGGAGCGGCAGCCGAGGAGTGGAATCCGCTCCGAGTGGGGCGCGTCCAGCGGGGAGACGGAGCGACGATGGAATCGGCTCGTGCGCAGCGAGCGCCGTGCGAATCGCGACGGGGTTGGCGGCAGCGGCGGCGGCGGCGGCTTGTAGAGGCCTTCATCCAGCGGCGGAGAGACCACGGCTGGCGAGGACACCGCCACTCCCCAGGGTGGCACCAGGGTGGCACCAGGGTGGCACCAGGGTGGCACCAGGGTGGCACCAGGGTGGCACCAGGGTGGCACCGGCGGACCGCTCCTGCCTGGGTCAGCGGAGCGACCCGCGCCACACACGTCACCACCACCGGTGACGTCACCACTACCGGCTCACCTGTCTCGATAGCCGGTGACGTCACCACTACCGGCTCACCTGTCTCGATGGCCGGTGACGTCACCACCTCGTGAGTTCATTCAACCCTTTCGCCTGTGTCACTGGCCGGTGACGTCACACTCCCTCCCCCCCACGTAACACGAACCAGTGACGTCACCGCCGCCTCACCTGTCCCACTAACCCGGTGACGTAACTCACTTCACCTGTGTCGTTCGGCCATTGCGCTGTGACGTCACCGCTCGCCCTTTGCCTTTGATTGGTCTATTCTAATTAAACTCTGCGGCAAATCGGTTCATGACCCCCCCCCCATCTCCCGTCTTCAACCCCCCGTCTCCCCCCCCCCCCCCCCACCAGATGTGTCAAGATCCGGGCAGGAGTCGGAGCTTACGCGCGTCTGTGATCTACCAGCGCGGGGGTTGGTGGACCGCGTAGAGATTCGTCAATGCCGCTGTTGCTGCTGTTGCCGCTGTTGCTGCTGTTGCTGCTGCGAGCTGCCCAGGGGGATGGTAGCACAGCAAGCGGGATGTTCGTAGAACCAACCACGCGTGGCGGACCTCCGAGTTGCAAGTTGTTATCACAGTTGGCTACGTACGGCGCGAAAGAAGTTCAACATCCGTACGAGCAGCTCGTCTGCACTCGGGATCTTTCCTCTGACACGAAACAAAAAATCAACCGACGATTGTGGCGAGGAATTGTTAAAGACGCTCCCGACGCAGCGGGGCGCACGCGGCGCGGGGAGACCCTCGCCCAGCAGTGGATTGAACAAGTCCCGTACTCGGGATATGAAATCCGTGTTCGGCTTGGAGGGGCAGCGCGTGACGACCTCACCGAACCCCCCTAAAGGGGGGCTCCGGGGCATCTCCCCCCACCCCGACCCACCTCCCCCGCCCCCCCCTGAGAGACGCGTGGTGCCGGCCTCCTGGCTCAGCACAGGGGGGGGGGGCTCGCCGATCCACTGCTATGGAGACGGTGGCGCGGTTCGCACGAGGCGAGGGATGGAAGAGATGGAGGGAGGAGGCGGACAGAGGGAGTTGGGAGGGAGGAGGAGGGAGCGAGGGGATGTGAGGAAGGGGATGAGGGAGGGGGGAGTCGCTTCAAATTAAGCGCTCAAGAGAAGCGCTCCTGGCACGGAGTGGAGCGTTCACACTTCCCCCCCCCCTCCTCCACCCCCTCCTCGCCGCAGACTTGTGTCGTAAACCCCTAATTGTGTTTTAATCGCTCCAGCGTGCGGGGCCACGCGGCTCAGACGAGGGGAGCGGGGGAGCCGGGACAGCGGACCCTGGGACCCCAATACCCCGTGCCCCCCCCTCCCAATATCCAGGCCCCCCCCCCTTAACTATCTTCCAAACTCGGGGACCCCCACACACAGGAACCCCCCCGAGCTTATAGACTCCAAGCAGGCGGTTGCCGCGTGCTCCATGCGTCCTCCCACCACCATTCTCAGCTCCCCCGCCCGCCCCCCTCGTGCCCCCCCCCATCTCTCTCCCCGCCCCCGCCCTGGGCTCACGGGGCTGGGAAAGCGATTAGCGGAAACCCGATCGCGTCCCGTCAGCCCGCGGCAACGCCGAGATTGATGCGCGCGGATTTACGCGACGCAGCCAATGTCCAGCGCTGCCTCGACACGGGTTTACCCGACAACATCGCATCATCGTCTTCGTCGTCATCATCATCAGCGCCACCATCGCTCGTGACCAATCCACTGCTGGGCGAAGGCATCCCCCAATACGTCGCCATCTCTCTCTCGCGGTCGCGCCGTGAAGCGATCCGCCGAGCGTCTCCCTGCGGCGCACGGGGCGATTGCGCCGCGGTCTCACGATCTGCCGAGCTGAGCCCTCGGTTCCGCGTTCTTGTCTTGATTGTGGTCTTGGTTGTGGTGTGGGTGATGTTGATTGGTGATGCTGGCGGTGCTGATTGTGGTGCTGTGACGTTTGGGATTCCAGTTGTTCACGATCATTTGTGTCGTGTTAAGTTGTGGCACGCCCCAGTGTCTTCGTTGGACGTGTGCGCGCCTGCGTGTTGCTCGTGGCCATTGTGTCCACGTGTTGTTTGTGCTGTTTGTGTTGCTCGTTAAGCGCTGCCACTGAGTGATTTGCAAGTGGCGCGCGTCGCTCCCAAAGCAAATGTTAGTCAGCCCCGCGGCGGCGTCTCCTGGGTCGGCGAGGCCGGGAGGGGGGGGGTATATTGGGGGGGTGGTGGGGGGTAGACTGGGGAGGCCCGAGGGTGTAAGGGGGCAGACGGGGGTGGGGGGGCTGCTGCAAGTGCCCGGACTCCGCCGGCCGCGGTGTCAAGTTTCGCGGTTCGCGTCGGGACCCGCGCCCGGGGTCGTGGCGGCCAATCCGCGTGTCCGGGAGTCGCCGCGTTCCCGCGAGGCCCCCAGGCCGACGCGGCACGGCGGCCAGCCGCGAGACGACCCGAGGCCTCGGACCCGGGAGCCTGGCCCCGTGAGAGCGGCCCGGCCCCGTGGAGGTCCCCGCTGCGTCTCGTCGCGCTGCCGGGAAAGCGCGACTCGTTCGGGGGAGACGAGGAGCGGCCGCGTGAGCGAAGAGGAGGAGGAGGGACGGGAGGCGAAAGAGAGAGAGGGGGGAGAGGGAGGAGAGAGGGAGGGGAGAGGGGAGGAGAAATAGAGAGAGAGAGAGTCAGAGGGGAGAGGATCTACAGAGAGGGAGGAGATATGAGAGCGAGGGAGGAGAACTCGCGAAGAGATGAGAACAGCAAGAGGGTGGAGATAGCTCGAGAGAAGAGTCCGAGGAGAGACTGAGACAGAGACGATCGTGAGACGGGGCGGCGGGGGGGAAGAGAAAAAGGAGAGACGGAGTAAAGAGAGCGGCAGATGGGAGAGAGAGTGAGCGTGGATAGAACGAGGGAGGGGGTAGAGGCTCTGAGATAGGAGCAGAGGGAGCAGGAGGAAGCGGAGGGTGCGAGACGAGGCGAGGAGGACGAGGCGCGCGAGACTCGAGCAGAGGGAGGAGGAGGGGGACGAGTCTCGTGAAGGAAGAAGAAGAAGATCGTCCCTCCTGTCCGCGTGGCGCGCGTCGGGGGGAGGGGGGGAGGTGAGGCACCATGTCCCTCCTGCCGTCGTTCGGCTTCACGCAGGAGCAGGTGGCGTGCGTGTGCGAGGTGCTGCAGCAGGGAGGCAACATCGAGCGCCTGGGCCGCTTCCTGTGGTCGCTGCCCGCGTGCGAGCACCTGCACAAGAACGAGAGCGTGCTCAAGGCGAAGGCCGTGGTGGCCTTCCACCGGGGCAACTTCCGCGAGCTCTACAAGACGCTGGAGAGCCACCAGTTCTCGCCGCACAACCACCCCAAGCTGCAGCAGCTGTGGCTCAAGGCGCACTACACGGAGGCGGAGAAGCTGCGCGGGAGGCCCCTGGGCGCCGTGGGCAAGTACCGGGTGCGGCGCAAGTTCCCGCTGCCGAGGACCATCTGGGACGGCGAGGAGACGAGCTACTGCTTCAAGGAGAAGTCGCGGGGCGTGCTGCGCGAGTGGTACGCGCACAACCCGTACCCGTCCCCGCGCGAGAAGCGCGAGCTGGCCGAGGCCACGGGGCTGACCACGACGCAGGTCAGCAACTGGTTCAAGAACCGGCGACAGCGCGACCGCGCCGCGGAGGCCAAGGACAGGTAGGGCTAGGGTCGGGTCAGGGGTTAGGGCCCAGGGTCGGGGTCAGGGGTTAGGGTCTCGGGTCGGGGTGAGGGTTGTTTGGGGGGGCGGGGGGTTGCGGGTAAGGGGGGTGAGGGTTGTGGCGAGGGGAACATGGCGTATGGGTGAGGGGGGTTTTGGTGGTGTGGGGGTCGTGGTTCGTTTTGGTGTTCGGGGTTTGGGGATATTCGAGAGAGGGAGAGGGAAGCGAGCGGCGGACAGGTCACGAACACGACTCCCTGTACAGGTCACGAACACGACTCTCTGAACAGGTCACGAACACGACTCCCTGTACAGGTCACGAACACGACTCCCTGTACAGGTCACGAACACGACTCTCTGAACAGGTCACGAACACGACTCCCTGTACAGGTCACGAACACGACTCCCTGTACAGGTCACGAACACGACTCCCTGTACAGGTCACGAACACGACTCCCTGTCCAGGTCACGAACACGACTCTCTGAACAGGTCACGAACACGACTGCCTGTACAGGTCACGAACACGACTCCCTGTACAGGTCACGAACACGACTCTCTGTACAGGTCACGAACACAACTGCCTGTACAGGTCACGAACACAACTCCCTGTACAGGTCACGAACACGACTCCCTGAACAGGTCACGAACACGACTCTCTGTACAGGTCACGAACACGACTCTCTGTACAGGTCACGAACACGACTCCCTGTACAGGTCACGAACACGACTCTCTGTACAGGTCACGAACACGACTCTCTGTACAGGTCACGAACACGACTCCCTGAACAGGTCACGAACACGACTCTCTGTACAGGTCACGAACACGACTCTCTGTACAGGTCACGAACACGACTCCCTGAACAGGTCACGAACACGACTCTCTGTACAGGTCACGAACACGACTCTCTGTACAGGTCACGAACACGACTCCCTGAACAGGTCACGAACACGACTCTCTGTACAGGTCACGAACACGACTCTCTGTACAGGTCACGAACACGACTCCCTGTACAGGTCACGAACACGACTCCCTGTACAGGTCACGAACACGACTCCCTGTACAGGTCACGAACACGACTCTCTGAACAGGTCACGAACACGACTCTCTGAACAGGTCACGAACACGACTCCCTGTACAGGTCACGAACACGACTCCCTGTACAGGTCACGAACACGACTCCCTGTACAGGTCACGAACACAACTCCCTGAACAGGTCACGAACACGACTCCCTGTACAGGTCACGAACACAACTCCCTGTACAGGTCACGAACACGACTCCCTGTACAGGTCACGAACACAACTCTCTGTACAGGTCACGAACACGACTCTCTGTACAGGTCACGAACACGACTGCCTGTACAGGTCACGGACACGACTCCCTGTACAGGTCACGAACACGACTCTCTGTACAGGTCACGAACACAACTGCCTGTACAGGTCACGAACACAACTCCCTGTACAGGTCACGAACACGACTCCCTGAACAGGTCACGAACACGACTCTCTGTACAGGTCACGAACACGACTCTCTGTACAGGTCACGAACACGACTCCCTGTACAGGTCACGAACACGACTCCCTGTACAGGTCACGAACACGACTCCCTGTACAGGTCAGGAACACGACTCCCTGTCCAGGTCACGAACACGACTGCCTGTACAGGTCACGAACACGACTCCCTGTACAGGTCACGAACACGACTCCCTGTACAGGTCACGAACACGACTCCCTGTCCAGGTCACGAACACGACTGCCTGTACAGGTCACGAACACAACTCCCTGTACAGGTCACGAACACGACTCCCTGTACAGGTCACGAACACGACTCCCTGTACAGGTCACGAACACAACTCTCTGTGCAGGTCACGAACACGACTCACTGAACAGGTCACGAACACGACTGCCTGTACAGGTCACGAACACAACTCTCTGTACAGGTCACGAACACGACTCTCTGTACAGGTCACGAACACGACTCCCTGTACAGGTCACGAACACGACTCCCTGTACAGGTCACGAACACAACTCCCTGTACAGGTCACGAACACGACTCTCTGTACAGGTCACGAACACAACTCCCTGTACAGGTCACGAACACGACTCCCTGTACAGGTCACGAACACAACTCCCTGTACAGGTCACGAACACGACTGCCTGTACAGGTCACGAACACGACTCCCTGTGCAGGTCACGAACACGACTCCATGGACTCGTCTCGTGACGCGCCAGTCCACGTGAGCCATCTTCGAGAGCTCCGCGGCGTTGGCTTGAGCCGCGATGGACGTTCACGCCGATGAGCAGGAGTCGAACTTGGCCCTTTCGGGTCGAGCGGCCGCGATGCCCGGCAAAAACCCCAACACGGCCATTCGTCAACAACACCGTAGCCATGAATATGATACACGTGCAAGAGGCGACGTTTCGGGAAACTGCCCTTTTTCCGAGTAGATATCTCTTCTACGAAGGGGCATTGCCCGAAACGTCGCCTGCTATATTATATAAACACGTCCTCTGCTGAAGGCGGCGTTGAGGGCTGTCGCAGCAGCCGCACCGAGGGTCGATGCTAGATGACGGGGGCCACGCAGACTCCCCCCTCTGTTCCACCACCGTCTCTCTCTGTCTCTCTGTCTCTCTCTCTCTCTGTCTCTCTCTGTCTCTCTCTGTATCTTGCTCTCTCTGCCTCTCTGTGTCTCTCTGTCTCTCTCTCTCTCTGTCTCTCTGTGTCTCTCAGTCTCTCTTTGTCTGTCTCTGTCTCTCTGTCTGTCTCTGTCTTTCTGTCTCTCTCTCTCCGTCTCTCTCTGTGTCTCTCTGTCTCTCTCTGTCTCTCTCTGTCTCTCTCTGTCTGTCTCTGTGTCTCTCTGTCTCTCTCTGTCTCTCTGTCTGTCTCTGTCTCTCTGTGTCTGTCTGTCTATCTCACTGTCTCTCTGTGTCTCTCTGTCTCTCTCTGTCTGTCTCTGTCTGTCTCTGTCTGTCTCTGTCTCTCTGTCTCTCTCTGTGTCTCTCTGTGTCTCTCTGTCTCTCTCTGCCTCACTGTGTCTCTCTGTCTCTCTCTGTCTCTAGCTCTCTCTGTCTCTCCCTGTCTGTCTGTGTCTCTGTGTCTCTCTGTCTCTCTCTGTATTTTGCTCTCTCTGCATCTCTGTCTCTCTCTGTCTCTCTCTGTCTATCTGTCTATCTGCCTCTCTCTGCCTCTCCCTGTCTGTCTCTCTCTGTGTCTCTCTGTCTGTCTCTCTCTCTCTCTGTCTCTCTCTCTGTCTCTCTGTCTCTCTCTCTGTCTCTCTGTGTCTCTCTGTCTGTCTCTGTCTCTCTGTGTCTATCTGTGTCTCTTTGTCTTTCTCTCTCTCTGTCTCTCAAAGTCTCTGTCTCTCGCTCCCAGCTGGAACATCCGCGGCCACGCATGCGCGCATTTTCAACACGAACTTGTTGACACTCGCACATTTTCTGAATCTGATCAGTAGAATTCCGTGTATTTGTAAACACACAAAAACGCAATCATTACAACCATCACCACCAACTATCATCAGCCATGGCCAATCCACCGCTGGATGGAGACCTCCCCCAATGAACGCGCAAGTCCCTGTTGGTAAACAACAACAACAACAGCAGCACCACCACCACCACCACAGAGGTCTGAACGCCACCGCGTCCCAGGTCCGCTGCTCGACGAGGATTCTCGCTTGCGAGCACCGCCAACGAGGCGGGCGCGGGGCGCGGGGCGCGGGGCGCGGGGCGCGGGGCGCGGGGCGCGGGGCGCGGGGCGCGGGGCGCGGGGCGCGGGGCGCGGGGCGCGGGGCGCGGGGCGCGGGGCGCGGGGCGCGGGGCGCGGGGAGCGGGGCGCGGGGCGCGGGGCGCGGGGCGCGGGGCGCGGGGCGCGGGGCGCGGGGCGCGGGGCGCGGGGCGCGGGGCGCGGGGCGCGGGGCGCGGGGCGCGGGGCGCGGGGCGCGGGGCGCGGGGCGCGGGGCGCGGGGAGCGGGGCGCGCTCTCTGGGCGCCTTCGTCGTGAGCGCTGTGCGCGATCGACTTCGTTGTAGAGCCCCCCCCTCGCCCGTCAGCCCCTCGCCCGTCAACCCCGCCGCGAGTCGTGGCCGCGCGGGTCTCGGGCGATGGGCCCGAGTGGTCAGCTGCGACGCAGACGTCATCTCGGTGTGTGCCTGGCGAGAGTGCCGATGCTGCTGCTGATGCTGCTGCTGATGCTGCTGTGCATTGTGAGTTCGATTGATTGAATCGCTCAATGTATCCGGTACTTTAAACAAACATATACACACACAGAGACATGTGGGGTGCGGTGGTGTAGCGGTTAGCGCGCTGCGCTGTGAACCCGGCGACCCGAGTTCGAATTCCCGCTCACGGCCAACACCAGTGGTGACGATTATTTGAACGAGTCCTAGGCCTCCCCTAGGTCGACTCGGCCTCAAATGAATACCTGGCGAGGTGTGTAAACATCGCCATTGGGGAGACAAAGGTGGTCGCGCGTGGTGCTGGCCACTCACCCGTTCCGGCCTTCGTCGGTGCTTGCGAACAGCGCTTGCCCCAACAGTCTGTCAAGGTTATACGGGGCATCTTGATTTGAAGTTTTCGTAACTGCAGGAATCCATACTCGTTGGTTCTTTCGGTAAAGTCACGTAGGTAGAAACATAAAATAAATCACGACGTTTCGGGCGCAACACAAGCGCCCATCATCAGGTGGGAAAGCGTGGTCCGCTGCTGCTGCCGAGGCAGACTGTTTTAAAACAGTGACTTATTTTGTTTTATACCTACGTGAATTTACCGAGATAACCATGGTTGTGTTTGTATCGGGGAGCGATTGCGTCGTGGTAAGCACAATGCGATGCGACGCCGGCGAGCCGAGTTCAAGTGATGCGGCTCTGCTCAGGGCACGGCGGATCTGCTGTGAGAAGTTTGACGCTGTCCTGGGCCTCCGCTAGGTCGACTCAGCCTTAAAATTGAGTACCTGGTGAGGTGTGTACGAGAAATATCAGTAATGGGGAGACAAAGGCGGCCGG